GGAAGGGAAGGGAAGGGAAGGGAAGCCCTGCTGTGAGCCAGCAGACACATCTGGCAGCTGGTGTCCCCTCCAACAGCATCTGCTCAGACACAATGCCATGGGACTGTACCTCGAGGCCTGCTTCACCAGGTGGACCACGGAGTCCAGGTTCTCCTCCTGGGCCAGGATCACCCTGAGGAAGAAGCAAAAAAGGGTGAACTATTTCCTGGGCAAGGCTGGCAATGCAGCCTCTGGTGCTCAGGGCTCCTCCGGACCCCCTCATGAGGCCCAGTCCTGCTAAGCATGGCCACCATCCTGGCACAGCTGAGCTTAGAGCGATGGAGCAAGCTGAGACTGAGCAGGTGTCATCCCCAGCACACCTGGAAGGGGTGTGGGAGGGGGATGCTGACCCCACGGGCGGTACAGAGTCTGCTTACCGGTTCCCCCTTCTCTCCTTTGGTTCCTTGCACTCCTTTTGGTCCAAGCTCACCTCTTCCTCCCTGTTCGATGGAAGGAGAAACAGACCCGGCATGGAGCACATCTGGATGTGCTCAGGCAGAGGCACTGCTGCATCACAAACACATGCCTGCTTGGCCTGGGAGAGCATCCTCTAAACCAGCAGCTCAGAGCAGAGCAAATAAACAGTGTTTACACAGGCATTAACTAAAAGAAAAGAAGTTCTGCAGTACATTTTTTAGATGGTTTCAAAAGGAGGTGGGCTTGGGAGATACAGCCAGGCTCTGCAGCTGCAGGGAATAGCTAGGGCAGCTGCTGGCTGCTCCTCAGCCATGCACCTGGACGGCTGAGAGACAACTACTCAGTGTTTCAGTTGGTACAAACAAAAAACAGGTGATGGAGACAAATAGACTCACCTTGGGTCCTGGCTGCCCCTTCTCACCCTTGTCACCCTGTGAAGGGAGAGGAGGGAGAGGTCAGCATCTGCACTGTGCACGTGTACACCTGAGATATGCAGTGAGGGCCAAGAAGCTGAACAGCTCGTGTAGCTTCAGGCTGCTGGTTGGGGTGGTGGGCACAGCCACCTCCCCATCACCATGACTGAGGCTGAGGTCCCAAGCACTACTGCCAGGAGACTGATGGAGCTGTGGCCAAGTTCAGTCCTGGTGTTCAAACCCATTATCTCTTCACAGGCTCCATGTTTCTGTGACCCTGATAATTTTTCGTCCTCCTTCCCTCTTATCCCAGGCTGCTCATCTTCAACAGCACCATCCACAGAAACAGACTTCCTCATCTGCTGGATGAGGCATATGTACCTGCGGTCCTCTGGGTCCAGGGTAGCTAAAGCCAGGTCTGCCTCTGTCACCCTTAGGTAGAAGAAAAAGACCTGTGAGACATCAAACCTGGCATTTCTGACCTGGCAATGCCAGTGACAGTCACAGCCATTTCCATTTTCTCTTGGGGTGACATACAACCAGGACCCAAGGCTTCTACAGCTGGCCCTGAAGCACTGGGAACAGCTGTGTGGAGCAAGAATTCTCAGGGCCTTGGAGACGTCACCCCTGAATCTGTGCAGGGTGAGGGGTGTTAAGCAGAACTGCCTTGGCTAGAGCAATACCTACATCTCTGCCCCATAGGGAGGCTCAGGTCTGATTCTGTTTCTGAGAGACACAATGGAAACTGAGTTTTGTTTTTTCTTTTTCTTTTAATTAATACATTAATAGGAACACAAACCCACCCTCCCAAATACAGAGTTCCATTCATGAACTTTACCTTTGGTCCTGGTGGTCCAGCGTCACCTCTTGGGCCCAAGTCACCAGGGTCTCCACGTGATCCCTGCAGGACAGTTTTGGGGAGGGTGAGGGGAGCAGGTGAGGATGTTCCCTGCCAACCCTCAGCCACACAGGGGACCGTGCTGGAGAAACCTGCTCTTGAGATGGTGCTGCAGGACCATTTCCCTTCGCAATGGATTTACTGTGATAGTGACTGTCTCAGCACTTGGGTTCCTGCGCTCCATAGAGCCACATGGATGTCATGGCACTACTGCCATAGTGGGGAGCTGGACTAACCACAGACCCAGGACAACTAGATGGGGCTTGTGGAGCCCCATCTTCTCTTTCCCCAGTGAC